GTTTGACAGTAAACGGGAAGTTCTTAAGGAGATCACCTCAAGAACAAGAATACAGAGGTAAACCATACTACGTCCAGAGACAATTTTACGGCAAGTTGCCGACTTTTTAATAAACACCAAGTCCACTTCCAGTCAAAGGTAAACAACACCATGTCCACATCTACGCAAACATGTGCACTGTTATTTACCATCCGGACATAGTGTTATGTACCTTGGTACCTGGTGGAATTGTGATGAACTAAAATATTTGTAACCATTTTATTTAGTTCGCAATAGTGTTAGATTGTTAAAAATTGTACAATACATCCCTTGTTTAATAATTGCAAAATGGATCCGATCTCTTGTGGAAAAAAAATACTGTCATATCATATTCCTAATGAAACAACATCTACAGGTAAGCTATTGTTTAATAACACTGATTTAGTATTTTGCTAACCTCAAATATTAAGTATTGTATATTCTTTTGTATATAGGTCTCAGAATTTCAAACAATACTACCTACATTTTCTGTACTTCCGTTAAAATAAAAGTATCAGTTAAAATGTTTTTGTTACCAGTAAAGAATTTTGTCTGTTTTTTTAAATGATCATTTTATGTTGATTGTTTTCACTTATTTAAGTAACATGCAGTGCAATTTATATTATTGAATTGTAAGCAGAGACAGGAATTTACCAAGCAATTCCCAATATATACTCGTATGAATAAAATACTACAATGGACTAGTCACTACAGTAACTTTCAAAGACGAAAGGTAAGGAAGTGGACGAAAATGATTGATGATGATGATTGATAAAGTATTGATAAAACCTATAAGCCTCTTAGTGGTGAAAGCTCAGAATCAAACGTCAATAATGTGAGACGTACAGGTAAACCAGCAAAAACAAAGATAAAAGAGCTATTACTACTCCTACGACTAGTGGGCCAATGACAAAAAAATCTTAAGGACGATTTATCTCTAAGCAGTGATGAAGGCAATTCCAATGAACATAATTAAGTTCTTTTAGAATAAGAGAAAAGTGTCAAAAGAAAGGTATAAAAATGTAACTAAGTGCAAACAAAAAGGTAAAACACGTGTAGTGAATGAAAAAAATTGGGCCTGTAATGTTCGCAAACGGAAAATAGAGTATCTCAGTAAAAGAGGCAAAAATATGCCTGAAAAAATGTTAAAATCTCCTTGCATGTGTCGCATGAAATGCTCTGAAAGATTGCCAAAATACGAAAGACAAAAAATCTTCAGTTCATACTGGACTGAGACAAACGTTTCAGACGTTAAAAAGCAATTGATCTTTTCATGTGCCGACATTCAACCTACTTTTAGATCAAGAAAAAGATACCCAAACACTACCAAATCTGAAAATAATATACAACACCACCATTTTACAGTGAACAATCAGCGATTGAAGGTGTACAACGTGTACAATGTTTTTAAACACACTTTGTATATTTAATTTAGTAGTAGTGAATATATTGAAAAAAATTGAGCCAGGTTTAATAAAAGCTGATCAAAGAGGTAGACACACGCCAATCAATAAAACTCCTATTGAAACTATAAATAGTATACATCAACATATTAATTCCTTCTCAAAGTACGAGTCATTATTATAGAGAAAGGAGCAGGAGAAATCATCTGGGTGCAGAACTTACAATAGAAAAGATGTATCAACTATGACTCTTTGGACCGATAATTGCTATGGACAAAATAAAAATCATCGAGCAAAAAGACAAAAGAGGGAATGTAAAGGTAGTGGGGGCAAAAATATCGTTAGATAGGAAATGTCATCTTGAGAGGCCCCATTAAACAAGGAAAGAGAATATTTCCTTGTTTAATAAATCAAATTTAGTTGGGTTGTTATTGTTTGTCCCAAC